ATATATATATCCTGAAAAAAAAGAAGCGAACAGAGAGAGAAACCCCTTCAATCGCCCTCTTCTAATCTATCGCGGCGATGCTTTAATTCGCCGAATCGTTATTTTTCGTCCTCCCCCCGTTCCTTTCACGTTTACATTCGCCAGGAATAAGAAGGGGGGGCTGATAAAAGGCCGATTCCTATTCAACGTTTCCTAATTAAGAAGGCCTGGTGGCCGATGAAAGAGCCACTCGCAATTAAGCTTGCGATGTTTTTCTTGTTCGAGCAGGCCAAGTGTCGTTGATAAATTGAATGCGAAACGAGCGGTCTTGTTGGAATGTCCTGTGTGCCTCCTTTAATTTAAAAATATATATCCATCCGTCGAATGGAAATTCCTTGTTGTTCCTCCACGACTCGAAGGAACGAAAGAAAAGTTGTGAAGAGTCTGGTGCAATTTCCACCATCTCTTCTACTCTCATTCGTTCGAACTACATTTTTCTTACGCTTATTATTATTAATTATTATTACGATTGGACAAAATGGGATCGAAACTCGAACTCGTTCGAGAATAGAACAGGTTAGGAATCAGAGGGGTCCATTCTCTTTGAGCTGGTTGGATAATTTTATTTTGCAGGTTGTTAATCATCACCGGCGGTGAAAATTAATTGACACACGCCAGAGGTTAACAATCGATGATCGCCTGTGGCCATAATCATCAATCCACCCTCGTCATCCTCCTAATTGATGATGGAAACCGAGCAACAAAGTTGTATGTAACAAGTGATATCGGAAAACAGATTTAAATCGTCGAATTATTTTCGTACTTTCTTTTTTCGATTAACATTAATTCATTTTTTTTTTAATTTCAATTAATCATAATACCATGGATAAAGGCTCTTGGTTGAAAAACTGGACAAAAAAAAATGGAAACCGAGCAACAAAGTTGCGTGTCGGAAAACAGATTTAAATCGTCGAATTATTTTCGAAATCGTAGAAAAATTAGATTTTCGTATTTTCTCTTTTTTTTTTCAATTTCGAATTCCAAGAAAATTCACTTTATTTATTTCCTTTTTTTAATTTCAATTAATCGTAATACCATGAATAAAGGCTCTCGGTCGAAAAACTGGACAGAAAAAAAAAAAGAAAAAAATGCGGAATAAAATTTCCTCGCACACCCCTTTATTTTCGAGTCGAATGAGCATGAATATTCATAGATCGAGCCGGAGAGTTCGCCAACCCCCCTATAAATCTCCAAAAATCGATATCCTCGAAAAAGGAGGAGGACTCGCAATAGGAAAATTGTACCCTTCCTTTTTCTTTTTCTTTTTTAGATAAGCTGCACCCCACGATTGAACGACGAATTTCGACCCACACAATAAATAATCGATTAATTTACGGCAAATTGCCCCCCCCCCCGTTCTTCCTCGTTAAAATACCCTCTCCACTCGATTTTCACCCCCCTTTTACCCGTCCACAATTCGATAAATTTCGCGGATCCGATCGTTCATGAAACGAGAAGAAAAGAAAGCTTGGATACGAGCCTGTGCCACGAGCGGAAGCTGGTGAAGGCAGCCAGTTTCCGGCGCGGGTTTTTCTTTTTTTTCTTTTTTTCTTTCATCGAGGCAGACTGTTCGTTCGACCATAAACGCGATTTATCGCGGCAGCTACGATGAATTCTCTCGCCTTTCTTCCTTTCCTCTCTCCTCTTCCCCCTCCTCCTCCTTTTTCCCGCCATTTTCCTCTTTCGAATTCGCGCGAGGGGAAGCTCACTGTGTGTGCAGGAAAGAGAGAAGAGAAGAGAAATAGAAGAAGAAGAAGAAGAAAGCTTTTGATACAAAGTCGCGATCGAAGAGATGTGGAAGAGAAATTTAATTTCGATGAAAGATCGTAAAAAGTGGAGGGTCTAGTCGTTTCGTCCGAGCGTGAACGGTGTTTTTCCACTCAGAGAGAGAGAGAGTGGCGGAACGATACGGGGAGTCAATCTGTAATCCTATATAACGCGATTAATCCACGTTCCACGTTGTATCGAAATCGTGTTAAGCGAGCTAATACCAATCAGAGGAATGTCAACAAAAACATTGTGATCCGTGTTGAACGTTGAGCAGTGTACGTCCATTATTATAAGCTGTATCGTGCGGAAGAATTGCAGCAATTTTTTTACGTCGTTTATTTTCTAATCTCGAGATCGCGTATTTTGTGTTTGGGAAAGGATTGACACCGTAATCTTTATATTTGACACACGCAAATATATAAAGATTTTGAGATCGATAAATCTTATTTCGATTTAACGACACGTCCATTTTCTGGACAGTAAAACTTTTGGATCTCTCCTCGGATCACGAATACGTTCGAATTTTAACAAAAAATTCGAACGAATTTCAAATATTTCGAGAGCAGGTGCTTAAAGAAAAAATGATAATAGAAATATGTAATTCGATTGTAATTTTACAAAATTTTATATTTGGAAGAGGATTGACACTGGAACACAAATATAAAGATTTTGAGATCGATAAATCTTATTTCGATTTAACGACACGTCCATTTTCTGGACAGTAAAATTTGGATCTCTCCTCGGATCACGAATACGTTCGAATTTTAAGAAAATATTGAATGAATTTCAAATAATTTGAAAGTCGATTGTAATTTTACAAAATCATTTAGGTTCACAATTTGGAACATCGACAAATTATTAATCAACAAAATATTAACGTCAAATGATGATAATGATGATGCATATACGAAGCGCTCACGTGTGTTTCGTTCATGAAAAATTGCAAATATAAATACTTTTACTTAATTTAAAATAACTTTGACAATCTTTTTTGGTATACAAAGATTAATAAATCCTATTTCGAACTTTAATCAACGCATTCTGAAGAAGAAGAAAAATTTGTCTTGCTCTGAGGTGGGGTAGATTTAAAACAACTTTGTCAACAATCTTTTCTTTTATTCCAGAAAGGGAATGTAACTCGTCCCAGTTAATAATCGCGAGGCTGTCTTCAATAAACGCGTTACCCCGGATATTTCTTCTCGATATTTCTCTCGAACAACATCCTCAAAACGTGTGCAGCCCTCTAAAGACCGGATTGGATTTCCTTCGAATTTAAACAATGCGAAAAGCTGCGCTCGGTCGAGTGAATGGAAACAAACTCGTCTCTTTCTCTTCCCTCCCCCCCTCTCTCTCTTTCTCTCTCTCTCTTTGTTTCTTTATCGAATCTTTCGATGCGTGACGCAATACTGGCTCTATCTATCGAACTTCTCCACGCGATCGTGTTCGATAATAACCCGGCTCGAGGAAAGAAGAGATCGAGCGATTTTTAACTCGTGGAAAACGATAATATTGTCGAGATAACCGCCCGTTTGTGCCGCTCTCTTGCCTCGTGCGTCAAAGGATCTATAATACGTGTTGTTGCCACGATGCTGTATCGTTTAATTCGCCGCTCATCGGCTCAATTTTTCCAAGAAAGATTTCCGTTTTATTATTCCAATTGAATGAGAATTCTATCCTCCTTGTGTAATAGCGATTTTGTTTTTCTTTTCTTTTCTTTTTTTTTTTTTTTTTTTTTGGTTCACAAATTTTGAAATTAAATTTAAAAGAAGAAAACAATCTGCAAACAAACTATTATCATTATTATCAACTAGTTAATTTTATTAAATTAATTTCAAAGAGAAACAATCTGCAAGTCAAACTATCATTATATGATCAACTAATTTTAGTTAATTTAAAAAAAAACAATCTATAAATAAACTATCATTATATGATCAACTAGTTAATTTTAATTAATTTTTTGGATAGGATTTTCGGGTAAATAAACTACCATTACGATCAATTACTTAATTTTGAATTAATTTAAAAAACAATCTAAACTATCATTACGATCAATTAGTTAATTTTAAATTAATTTTTCGAATAGGATTTTCAAGTGTTGATAAAAATATGAATTTTAAATTTTAAAATTCGTCTGCGATTAAATTTTATTATACGCGAGTGAATTTCGAGCGAAAGTTTGACAGTTTTCATAACTTTTAACTAGGCAACTTTCCCTCCCGATTCCAATAGAATTCGACTACGGAGGCGGGCCTTTGTTGCAGCGCTGCTTTCGAGGAATCAATTTCAGGCGGCGAGTTTGAAGTCGCTGCACCGGGATCCGAATAATAATGGCGTTTCGTCGAAGATCGATTCGATAAAAATTTAATTCGAGAAGGGAAATTTCGAACGATCGGGGAGAGTTTTTCCCCGAAAAAGGAAAAAAAAAAAAAAAAATAAAAAACGTTCGATCGATTCTGAAGAATCTGTCCGAACGTGAAAATGCGAACGAGAAGAATTTTGCTATTCTATTTTTTTAACGATCGATTTTCGAACCACGTACTCTCTAAAAATAATTACTCCTCGCCCCTTAAATAACAATTTCCAACCGTATTTCTATTTCCATTTCGTCACATTTTACGAATCATCGCGCCATCCCAAATTTTATCAAACCATCGATCAACCCTTTTCAATTATCCCCCATCCCCCTCCTTCAACAAATTTATTTCCGACACACTTCGAACGATCCCAAAATCTCTCGCGTTTCTCGTAACCTCTTTCATCAAAAAAAAAAGAAAAATCACTCATCCCATATTATACCCTTATAAATCCTGAACGCTAATTTCCAATCTCAAGCAACTTCCAATCTCCTGCTGAAATCGATCAGAAAGCCAATCAACTGCTTCCTCGAAGCGAAAAAAAGGAAACCGCTTCCAACCAACCGAAACCGCCACAAAACCGAGCATCTACTGGATCTGCTTATATACCTTGTCATCAACAAGTACCGGCGCGAACCCAAACATTCGATCGCGTGGGGAGAAGCGTCTCTGGAATCGGTGAGGATCGGCTGGGAGGAAGGGAGCGGCTGGCAATGAGGCACGTTCCCGTGGAAAAGTTGGCGAATTGGTTGTTGGCCGACAACAGGTAGCAGAGGTCGCGCGTCACAACAACAACAACAACAACAACATTTCTCATTTCTAAATCGAACGATTTACCGAAATCGTTCTCTGCTTCTGTGCGAGGCTTACTGGCTGCCTCGGTGGAGGTGTGTGTCGCGCCTCCCTTCCGGCTGCGTCCTCACCAGGACACGAGGAGAACGGGCAGAGTATATGGGCCAGGCCACTGCATCTGGTCACAGAGAATGCCACACTGACGCACCACCACACGCACTCCCGCCACGATCACTGCTATCGAGGCTATACAGAGGTGGAAAGGGGAAGAAGGGGTTTCGGTTTCTTCCGTGCCTGTGCGTCCGATAAACGTTGCTCGAAAGAGACGATGTTGCAGTCATCGAGCTCGGCCGTGACGTGACTTTCGTCGAACGAATATTTCGAATATTTGTGATCGATTGAATTTTGCCACGTGACAGGAACCACTCGATTCTTATCGTCCAACGAACGATTGTTCTGTAAAACGGAATCGGGACGAGATCTCGAAGCACAATTCGACGAGAGAAATCCGCCTGCAAACAAAGCGACGCGAGCAGTGTTATGCCAACAATTTCGACCGTGAAAACCGATAAACCGACCGAGAGAGAGAGAGAGAGAGAGAGACGTTCACACGATTACCGCCTAAAAAAGGATGGAAAGTTAACCGCAAAAACGCGACCACCTTCACCCGAAACTGAGATCACCGCTGCCGCATCCGCATTCCCTCCGCTGCAGGAGAGGTTACCTGTGAGGCCCCTATCGAACCGTCCTTTCACCCCACTTTGCACGCAGGAGGAGAGAGGCGGAACAGCGACAACCAGGATGCCTGCTGCACGAGTTAGGAGGCATCGAAAGAGACGCACAGACACTCAAGAGAGCTGACACTTGGGATGACACTTGGATGAAAGGGTTGGACGATTCGTTGGTTGACGATGAATTGGTTGGGCAGGTGGAGGGCAGGGATAAGATATATCGGGGGTTTGATATTATATCGGTGGTCCGTACCGCGAGGATGCTCGGTGCTTCCGAGCCGAGGCGATCAGCTCGTGCGCCGTCGTATTGACGTTGACGGCGGCCGAGACCCGACTGACGGAACGATCCTCTGTGTGGCGTCGCCGTGGCACAGTAACGTACCATCTGGAAAATCAGGGGGGGGACAGCGCGACGTCGCCATTCAACTACTTTTTCCTTTGTTTCATCATCGCTGCCTGTTGATGTGCCTCGAAACTCGCGTCCAACGATTGATCGGCTCCTCTCCCTTCCTTCTCCTTCTGTGTTTTCGACCTTTTGCCCAGCTCGCTATCTAATCTAACGGTGATTGTTGGCTCGCTGGTGGTTTATGCATTTTGCTGGAGATTTATGGTTTGCGGATGGTTTTCGTAACTTTCGTATCTTTCTTCTTATCGCGATGTTATCCCTGGGGGATATTCGATTTTGTTTCTCGATGGTGTTTTTTTTCTTTCTTGGTAATGGAATCGAATCTCGATTTCGTTTACGGTGGAAATTTGAAAAATGGTATTAAAATAAAGGAGGGAGAAAAACGTTTAGAAAGGAAAAAGTATTTAAGAGGTAGAAGTATTCTCGTGACGAGAAGTTTCTGTAAACTTAGAATGTCAAGAGCGATTCTTGAAACAATATTACGTTAGGGGAGGAATTTTTAAAGGAAGTGTCTCTCGAGCTTGATCGAAACTTATTAAACTTTCCTCTACTATCTTATCCACCATCGCGACTAGATGCTGGATAATGTCAACGACGACGGATAGAATCTCCGCGCAGGCTGCTTTACAAAAATTGGATTAGTTATGCTTCCTCGACCACGCTTACCAACTTGTACTTTTTGTTGTGCGTGAGCACAACATTATTAAAAACATTAAGGGCTAAGTTTGCTTCACCGTTATTGCAACATATTATTAACGAACATTATTATAATTATTTGCCGTACAATATTGCAATGTTATTCTCTGATATTTATAGAATTATTGGTACTAATATTGCCGATATTTATTTCTATGTACGTGTTGCAATAATATCACTAGTATTTACTGATACTTATTTCCATAGTATACGTGTAATATACGATATTATTTTTTAATACTTATAGAATTAGGATTAATCATACTCGTTGCCACACAATTGTACAAATTTATTTTAGAATGCACATTTTTCAATTGCC